GAGGTAATGAAATTCCCGGTAATACACCCCAAAAATCTACTATTAGTAATAAAACATTACCGGGAATGAGATTCTCGGCCAACCAAACATGGGAATGTGAGATTCTCATCTCCTTGAACCAAACACCCCCTAAAGGATATGTATATTTGTAAACTCGTTTTGTATATTTGAGTCATAACTTATTTTAAATGATGGTCTGTATGATTGGAATTATTATTTTTGGGAGCTCCCGATGTAAACTATTTTATTAAATTGTGGTTGATTTATCTTGGCATGAGTATTTACGAATTATTATTTCATATTTAAAAATTAAAGAAAAGTTTTGGTTAACCACTCTGGTGGTTCCTTGTGATATTCATATCAGTCGACTGTGTGTCGTACATGTCTAGGGTGTTAATACAAAAACCTAATTCTTCTAGCCAATATGAATTTAAAATTAAATATATCTATTTAAAATGGTAATTTATAAATGCAATGTTATTCTCCTTAAATGATTTGGGTTCGAATAATTAAGTCTGTAGAGTGTGTGCGCATTGTAATAGACTAATTTTTTTTAAACATATACTATCTTATAATCACCCTATACTATTTAAAAAAATTATTTATAATTAGAATCAAACTTCCTCGACCAAAAACTATTTCAATATTAAAAAATGTTTTTACTTCATTTGAATTTGTTATTGTTTTTTTAACATTGTTATCATTAATAATATGGATCAAGATCCATTAATACTATAATTTCTTTTTAAGTTTTACACAGATTTGAAATTGTTAGATGAGTAGAAATAGAAGACTATCATCATCCTTAGGCGTGTTTATTATTTGATTTTAATCAAATTAAAATTTAATTCAATTAATCGATCGTGTAATAAGATGTTAGATTGATGAGCAAAATAAACTTTCTAAAGTTTGATTATTTGTTAATTTAGTTAAAAACTGGTTAATTAACCTAATTAATTGAATTGACTATATATATATATATATAAAGCTTAGAATCAAGATTCAACTAAAATATAAATCACTCGTGATTAGGGGTGAACATTCGATTAAGTCTAATGAAAGAAATTGAGATAGTCAAGTTGACGAGTTATATTTTATGATTCAAACTTTATTTAGATTTTTTTTATTTGAGTCGTTTGAATTTCTATAAAAATTTAATTGTAATTATTTAATAGGAATGTAAGATTACCGTGTTTGGTTAAAGGAATAAAAGATTATTGGAATGTATATTTGACCAAATTGTCCTTATTATATATTTGTATAATATTACAAATTGTAAAATATTTATATATTTTCTTTAAAAAATAAATTCATAATATTTATATAATTGTTTTACAAAATTAAAAATATAAAAAAGGTTTAATGAAAGGGTATATTTTTTTAACCCCTGAACTTCATATAAAATTTTAATTATATTTTTTTTTGTAAATCTAAAATAATTTAAGGATAAATTTGTAATTTAACCTTCGTAGAATTTTTATTATTCAATGATAGAAGAAGGATATTTTTGAAAAAAAATAAAAATTTAAGGGCATTTTAGTCCAAAACGCTGGTAATGTTACAATACCTAAGGGAAGGGAGGTAATGAAATTCCCTGTAATATACCCCAAAAAATCTACTATTTAGTAATAAAACATTACCGGGAATGAGATTCCCGGCCAACCAAACATGGGAATGTGGGATTCTCATCCCATTGGAATCCCACATCCTTGAACCAAACACCCCCTAAAGGGTATGTATATTTCTAAACTCGTTTTGTATATTTGAGTCATAACTTATTTTAAATGATGGTCTGTATGATTGGAATTATTATTTTTGGGAGCTCCCGATGTAAACTATTTTATTAAATTGTGGTTGATTTATCTTGGCATGAGTATTTACGAATTATTATTTCATATTTAAAAATTAAAGAAAAATTTTGGTTAACCACTCTGGTGGTTCCTTGTGACATTCATATCAGTCGACTGTGTGTCATACATGTCTAGGGTGTTAATACAAAAACCTAATTCTTCTAACCAATATGAATTTAAAATTAAATATATCTATTTAAAATGGTAATTTATAAATGCAATGTTATTCTCCTTAAATGATTCGGGTTCGAATAATTAAGTTTGTAGAGTGTATGCGCATTGTAATAGACTAATTTTTTTTTAAACATATACTATCTTATAATCACCCTATACTATTTAAAAAAATGATTTATAATTAGAATTAAACTTCCTCGACAAAAAACTATTTCAATATTAAAAAATGTTTTTACTTCATTTGAATTTGTTATTGTTTTTTTAACATTGTTATCATTAATAATATGGATCAAGATCCATTAATACTATAATTTCTTTTTAAGTTTTACACAAATTTGAAATTGTTAGATGAGTAGAAATAGAAGACTATCATCATCCTTAGGCGTGTTTATTGTTTGATTTTAATCAAATTAAAATTTAATTCAATTAATCGATCGTATAATAAGATGTTAGATTGATGAGCAAAATAAACTTTCTAAAGTTTGATTATTTGTTAATTTAGTTAAAAACTGGTTAATTAACCTAATTAATTGAATTGACTATATATATATATATAAAAGCTTAGAATCAAGATTCAACTAAAATATAAATCACTCGTGATTAGGGGTGAACATTCGATTAAGTTTAGTGAAAGAAATTGAGATAGTCAAGTTGACGAGTCATATTTTATGATTCAAACTTTATTTAGATTTTTTTTATTTGAGTCGTTTGAATTTCTATAAAAATTTAATTGTAATTATTTAATATTATGGTACCAATTGATTTCATTTTTTATCAACTTTATCTAACCATATAAGATATAAATATATACATTTTTTCATATTATTTTTCATATTGTAAAATTATTTAATAAATTAAATAAAATCTAAATTTATAAAAATATATTAATCTTATTTTAAAGAATGTATTTTGAGGCTAAAATATTGTTGCAATTATAAAAGATTCAAGAAATTGATGGGAAGAAAGAATTTGCAAAAAATTACAATGAAAATGTGAAATTGAATAAAATACAAAGTTAAGGCATTAAATTAAAAAAGAAGGAAAACTTGTAGTTAAAATTATGAATTGAAGTTACATGAGTATTTTATAGTGGTAGAGGAGTATGCAGTTCAAATTTGGTAAATAGAGATAAAATGATGAATGAATTGAAGAAATGATGAATTATACAAAATTGAGGGAGTAAATAAAAAAAATAGAAAATTTATTATCAAAAATAGGAATTGAAAATGTATAAGTATTCTACAACGATTTAGGAACATGCTATTTAAATTTGATAAAAACATGGATTTAAAATGAATGAAGAATTGAAAGAATAAGAAAAATAGGTATCAAATCACAAAAATGTCAAAAATATAAGTTAAAGTTTTTGTTTACTCAAAAATTTCAATTTCCAATCTGACTTAAACTTAAAAACCGATTGAATAATTTAATTTGATTCAAATAACTTAATTTATATAATTTAAAATTAAAAAAAAATATTTTTGAATCAAATGAAATTTTATTCATTTTTACTCGTGATCTTTTAAGATAAATGAAATTATCAAGATAGAATTACAAGACCAGGGACGAGAATAGGTCGGGTTAGCCCTGCATTTCGATCAATCTGATTCAATCTAAAATAAATACTCAATTTGTATTTGATCTAAAAATTATATACCCTCCACCCGATTCGAACTCAACCCTCACCTGACCCGTCCTTTTGAGATAAAACCCGAATCCGACTCAACCCGAAATAGTATATTTAAAAAAATATTATTTTTATTCAATAAAAATAAAAATCTAATTAAAAAATATATAGAGGGTCTTATTACAATTATCTCAAATATATAAGGTAAAATTATATTTTTTCAGGTTGGGTCAGGTTGAATATTTTTCACCATAAACTCAAACATGATTTAAATATAATCTCTAAAAAACTCAATCCAACTCGAACTCAATTTGTTTTTAAAAAAATTCGACTCGATAAGATTAGGTCAAGTTCGGGTATCATGACCATCCACAAGCAAAATATAAGACAAAGAATAAAGTTTGAGGGTTGTAGTTAACAATTTCTAGACAAGTGTGAAAACTCAATTGACATCTCTCCTATTTATAAATTTTGAATATTTATTAAGAGTAAAAAAAATTCTTCCCCTTTTCTAGATATGAATTGTTTTAAAAAAAATAAGTTGATATAAAGAAATGAGACACTAGATTCAAATCCTGACAATTTCGAATGAAGTAAACTAGGTTGAGAGAGTCAGCCTTAGTTTTTTTAATATCTAATCCGAATTAGTCAATCAATTAATCGGAAACTGGTGGTTATACAAAAAAAATAAGTTTAAGCGTTGTCATCTTTTGTTTAGTAGGATTATATATAAGCTATTAATTTTGTTCGTTTTAATATTTAAATTTTTATTTTTTTCTAAATCATACATAACATTTAGTTTTGTTTCATTTTAATATTATGTCGTTAAAAATTTGATGGACAAGTTCATTAGTCGCACGTCTATAATCACCAATCGTCGTATCTACCGACAATGAAACCCAAACTTTTTCAGTATGCACATTTTCGACAGCCTAAATGTGATTTCGACCTCCGTTTCACCGAAAAATGCCTCAATTTCTCAAAGTGATGGACTCTTTGATTTCTTCATCACCCGATTTCCATGGTCCACCATCTGATGAGCTTGAAACTGAACTATGTTGGTCAACTCATCATTCTCTTGTGGTTCATTGTTCGAATTGGTCGTCCGTCCACCGGAGATATGCCACGTCAGTTTGTCCGTTAAGTTTTTAACAATAGAATACTAAAATAAAACAAAAACTAAATACTAAGTATAATTTAAAAAAAATAAAAATTAAAACACTAAAACAGACAAAAACTGATAATTTAAGTATTAAAATATACCAAAAACAAATAATTTAAGTACTACCCGGGTTGTTTACCCATATATATCCCCACCGCAGAAATCTTACGGTGGTCAATACCTCATATGATAGCCCCACTCCTCTCCTACAACAAAATTTCAAAAATCAAACCCTGAAGATTTTCGATGGATCCCTAAAATGTCGTGGTTAGCTCGTTCGCTGGCTACCTCGTTTCGTCTCGACGAAGACGACAACGTATGGGCTTCTTCAAGTGATGAAGGAATTGAAAACGACATCGTAACGCACGGGTCTCAATCACCGTCTCCTACGAGGCCCAAGATTCAAAGCGGAGAAGCCAATGCGGAACAACAATCGTTGTCCCCTGAACAAGTAACGAAACTCCAATCGCGTGGCGTCAAAGAAGATCTAACCGAACTCAAACAAACCCTAACCCGCCAACTTTGGGGAGTCGCTTCCTTTCTCGCGCCACCGCCTCCTCGTACTCAATTCAATCGCCAATCAAATGATCGATCGTTCTCGGATTCGAATCAACCTGAGCCGTCGGATCGGTCTGTCTGCAGGGACGGAGAGGATCTATCAGACTCCGAGGCGGTGGCGGGTATTAGGGACGATTTTGCTGAGATCGGAGTGAAGTTGTCGAAGATGGCATCGGATTATTTTTCGTTTGGATCTGGGCAAAATGAAGAAGAAAACGATATGGAAAACGAAAGTGACAACGCGGAGGAGGAGGATCAGGAGCTGAATGCGGTCGGGATAACGGATGAGGTTTTGGCATTTGCGAGGAACATCGCGCATCACCCTGAAACGTGGTTGGATTTCCCTCTTGACCCCGAGGAGGACTTGGATGGTAATTTATCTTCTTAATTAATCGTGATTAATTTGATTTCATTGCGTTGTACTATAATTTGGGTGTTTATTTATATGCTCTGCCACGGAATTCTTGTTATTAAGTTCAGTTGTCCAGAGCAATTGACCATAATGCACGTAAATTGTTGCTGAAAGTCTTATGTAGCCCCTGCCCTGCGCATTATTGAATTGAAGTTTTAACCACTGTGAAAGTGGATGCTTCTTTACAGTGATTGAGCTGAAACATATCTTCCCGTTTGCAATTTTGATCAATAACAACCTTCTATGTTTGAATTTTAGATGCATGGGAAAGCTTTAGTTATCCTTGTTCAATCCAACACATTTCTCATGCATTCTTTGCCTCTTTCTCTTGTTAATTTTTTATTACAATCTTTAACTCTGGAACCGTTAAGTCTTAATCCCAATAAGTTTGTGGTTGGCTACTTGAACCAAGACATAAAAATGTTTACATCAGGTCAACAAATCATCCTCCTTCAATCATTACTATACCACTTTCAAGTTCTTATAGTTTCATATAATTATTTATCATCTCCAACCATGTTCCTTTTTTTGGTCTTGACTTCAATCTTTTATCATATGTATCGCAAATTTGCTTTATTCTTGTAATAGGTGGTGCATCTATCAATTTACATCCTATGTGATAAGAACTACTTTCTCTCATCTTATTCACCATAAAAGCTATACTAACTTGGAGATAAATATCCTCATTCCAAAAACTGTCCTTCCTAGTCCATCACACATTCATTCTGATATTGGCATCTGATTGCTTTTTTATTTTTTTGTTTATGTTGCCCAATTTTCTCTTCCGTATATGATGCAGGAGCATCCAAGTTATAGTTTAATATTCTGGATTAATTTTTACGTTTGTTTTCTTTTTTATTTAATTTTTTAATATTTAGGATCAGTTTTATGCTAGTTTTTAAGCTTATCCAAGTTTATCTTTGGTGTTCTTCTAATTAATTATGTGATTAGCATAGGACTCTTAGTAAGAGTTCTAATTCAACTATGCTACTATTAGTGAGAGTCTTATTATAAATATTAGACGGCTATTAGGAGTAAGATTTTTTTTGTTGAGAATTCTATTAAAATTGTTGGCGGGAGTTCCAGAACCTTTCTTTTCCCCTAATTCAGTCACATTCATCAACTTCTTTTTAATTTCCATAACTATTTAGAATTTCCCCTGCATCAGTATAGCAAAATAGGTACAGTACTTGTTCCATAGAACTGTCCTTTTCACGCTTAAAGATATACTGCAATCACTCAAGACTGATCTTGCACTTTTACTCTGGTTGTCACACGCCTACCACAACCCTCTTCCTTTATTTGGACTTGGGACTGGTAGTGTAAGAGTAGACAGAGTTTTGATTTATGATGTAAAACTTTACATAAATGACAGTTTGTGAAATTCTGATTCCTTTTGTTTTCTTGTTTTAGATTTTGACATGTCAGTCTCTCAACGAGACCATGCTATGGCTATTGAGCATCTTGCTCCAAGACTAGCAGCTCTGAGAATTGAACTTAGTCCTTGCCATATGAGTGACAGTTACTTCTGGAAAGTTTATTTTGTTCTTCTGCATCCCAGACTTAACAAGAAAGATACAGAGTTGCTGGCTACACCTCAGGTCAGTTGTTACAGAAACAACATCATCAAGGGCCCAATCTTATCATTTTGTGAATCTTCATTTCTTTTTTTTTTTCATGGGAAAAAAAATACTTTTTAGGGATTTTGAATATCTTAGGCCCTTATGAAATGATCAATTTTTTATCTGTGATGTGGTGGTGGTGTTATTGTTGTTGTTGGTGTTCGGGTTAAAATTTGTATTTTAAACTTCAATCTCGAGTCGTTAAACTTCATTTAGTATGGAGTATAAAGTATAGCGAAGTCCGATGACTTGATATTTCCTTCCAAGTTTTCCAGATATTCATTTTTGCTCATTGCCCTTGCTTCAACTCTCAAACAAGATCCGATTTTTTTCTAGTTGAACTCTACCTAATTCATTCCCAAGGATTCGCCATTATCATTTCCATGTACATCATAGGTAATATTTGGAGTCCAACAGCGTCTGCAAGTTCACCAGTCCTCTTCAAAGTCTGCGGAGGCAACATTTAATTGCTTGGTTTCCATGGTTCTTAAGCCATATCTGATGTGTTGAAAATATCAGCAAGACTTTTATTCTTTCCTTTTCTGGAAAAGAAAATTTATTTTCTTCACTATGTCTGGAAGGTTGTGCTTAAAAAACCACCTACCAAATTGGTTTTCTTCATGACTTATAATCTTAGCCAAGTTTGTTATGTCCTCAGTGCAATAACAAATTCATATAGTTCTATGGAAGTGACATTATGATTTAGCTAAGCTTGTTTGCCACAAGTATGCTTACCATTAGATACTTTATGTACTTATTTTTCCTCCCATGATGTGGGGATATTATTGAGTATTTGGAGCACTAGATTGTTGATTGATTCTAATGGTGGTTTACCTATTGCTAGCAGGTGGTGGAAGCCCGGGCATTGTGGATGAAGGAGCTTCGAAAGCAAACAAAGCCTGAATCTGATTGGTATGGGAGAACTTCTCTTGGAGACAACTGTGGAACCATGCACGATGATGTTATTTCTTCCTCGTGTAGTTATTTTCATGTTGAGACCATGTCACCTAGGACTTATGTTTCTGAACCTGCATCTTGCATTACAACGGATTTCGAGATTGAGAATCATCCAGTTGAAAGTATTGACATGCCATTTGTAGACAAGCCTGTTATTGTGGAAAAAACAGGGTTTACGATTGAGGATAAGGAGTACGAGGTTTGCCCATCCTCAAAAACATCGGTTCCAAAATTTGAAGACGATGAGATCGATTGGCCAGAAGATGATGAGTCTGAATTCGGTGGTTATCGTGGAGCTGAAATATGTGTGGAGAATGAAGAAGATTTTTCTTTCAGTGATCTTGAGGATGTCGATGATTATAGTTTCAAAAGGATTTGAAAATTCTACAACAGAAGTCCTGTGATTGGATTCATCTTCAGCTTGGCATGAGCTCTGCTCGTTGGACCAAACCGAAAGGCCATTTAGGTTGATGTAAAACCTGAGATCGCCAACACTGAACACCATGGATACTTGGATGTTTGTTGGAGCTTGGTTGCATATAGCTAGTGATCAGTCAAGTTTTAATGGAGTGATGATCGCCGTGCAAGGATTGTAACTGTAAGAATATAAGTGAATTTCCAAGGTGGGAAAAGCCGGTGTGTGAAAAGGTTGATCATCTGAGCCGATAGAAAGTGAACAAGGAGTTCAAGTTGAAATGAGAATAGATGAATTTCGAACAAGTTTGTCTCAATTTCATCTAGTAATACTGATACAGGTTTTGTGCAGAAAGTCCGCCGTTAAAAGGTACCATCTTAGAACTTAATGTAGGACCTTCAAGTTTGTCCTACGATGAAGAGTTTAATATAGTTATGTGTTTTCCTCTAAATATTTATGCTTAAAGCCCTAAGAGTATTAGTCATATCAATTTCGTTTAAGAGTATTAGTCATTGCATCTCAGCATTTTCATCTAATATCATGCGATTGTCATAAGGGAAAAAAAGGCAAGAAATCTTAGTTTGTCATGTGGTGGCAAGAAAAAGAAAAGACTAATTAAATTTAAATATGACACGTAAAAAAATAGATAAATAGAACATAAATACACAATTCTTTCAAAATTTGCATAAACGACTACATAATAGGTAAAAAAAACTGATCAGTTTATAACATTTAAAAACAACAACGCGATGGAATAGTCGTACAAGAAATAGATTTTTACTTTACATCCTAAATGTACATATAAGTTTACAATACTTCAAACACAAAATGTAGTGTTGATGGAAGAAGTAAAATTACGGTGGTTCTTGATAATTTATTCTTTTAAATTTTACATAAAGGATCGTAGACAGTAAGTGGTGGCAAAAAGGAGAATAAAAACCACCTAAAAAGAGAACAAAGATGATGACCAGTCTAGTGAGATTGAGAGAGTTTTTTTTTTTTTTTTTTTTTAACTTTACACGATGACATATGTACAAATATTTAATGTCGAGTGTTATGCCTTGGATAATAATGACTACTTTAAGTTGACAGATGAACAAATTTAGTTGTTAAATAAAAGATTTAGATGTTGATAATCACATGGATTTGTCAAAAATTAGGCTATGAAAGATAAAAATTTTAGAGATTTCAGAATTTGATAGATAGAAAAATTATAGTGGAGATATGACTTGCGGATGAGATCTCGAAGAGATATACACTTATCTCTTTTAATCAAGAGAATTTCATAAAGTAATTTGAAATGGATTTTTTTTTTAAAAAATGTTATTACTACCGAAACAAATGGAGAACAGTTGTTTCAACTTCTATATATAAACCCAACAGAAGATTCTCGAGCTCTAAATGGGGATAAGATGGCCATTGAACTTGAATTCGTTTGATTCTGATTTAATTTGATCATGTCGAATTAAAAAAAAAAGATTTTGGATTCGGATTGAGCTGGATTCTTTTAAGTTTATGTTCTAGTGGGATTGACTTTAGATTTAGGGTAAAAAATACTCTACTTGACCCGAAAAAATTAAAATTTTATCTTATATATTTAAGGATAATTGTAATAATATCTACTTTATATATTATTTTCTTTCAATTAAATATCTATTTTTATTGAATAAAAATAATATTTTTAATGAATATTATTTCAGATCGGGACGGGTTGAGTTTGAATTTTATCTTAAAAAATTAGGTCGAGTTCAAATAAGATAAAATATGTATATTTTTTAGATCAGGTAAATGATTTATAATTTTCGAGTCGAGTCGGACCAATATTCTTCCTTGAATGGGGAGGGAACTAAAACGAAGGAAACTCAACACTAGATATATAATAGACGATCTTGACACCCTTGGAGAAGTAATGAAAAAACGACGTCTCAATATTCGGTAGGAACAAAATTTCTATAGCTATGGTGCAGACGTTCATGAAAAGATATGAAGACATCTCTAGACATGTCAATTTAGGTATATCATAAGCTAAATTTCGTTTTAGCCCGGATCACCTTAAATTAAAACCTTTTATAAAATTAAATACTTGTATAATTAAAATATTTTATCCATCCATAATGCAAATAAATCTAGGGTAAAGTATAGTAATGGTCACTGAACTTTTCTAAAGCTTTCATTTAGGTCCCTAACTTTTAAAATTTGCAATACAGTCCTCCAACATTTAGTCTGTTTGCAATATGGTCCCCGACCGTTACACTGTCGTTAGTACGTTTGCAATATGGTCACTGAACTTTTAAGGCACTTGCATTTAGGTCCCCCAACTTTTAAAACTTACAGTTCAGTCCTCAATTTCATTCTAAACTCTAAATTTCAAAATAATTCAATTATATTTTAAACCCTAAATTTTAAAATACTTCAATTTAGGGTTTAGAATATAATTAAAGTATTTTGGAATTTAGGGCTTAGAATGAAATTGAAGTGTTTTGGAATTTTGAACATGAATTTGCTATTTGACAGGGTTTACTTCAATATAAAATTGAGGTTTGTTGCATACACATCAAGCAGCTGCCGCACTTTGAACATGAAAAGTGCATCTATCACGTTTATTGCATAAACCGTTGAAGTAAAAATAACGAGGCCTATTTGTCTTGTTCGTAGCTGCCGCACTTTGGTATGATAATCCAATAGGTTTGGATGGAACTTGAGCATGCACATCCAACGATTGTGAACATAGTAAAGATTTTTAGTTCATACGACTACAACATACATCCAAGCAATAACTAAAATAAACCAAGAACATCAATTAATAACTTATTCAAAAGGAAGACTTAATAAATAAAGGGAAAGAGATTCAATCATAGTCACTCCAAAAGCTAAATCGTCAAATGGGTTGTTTAAGATAGACATTAGATGTCAAATACAACATTACCAGTTGCAAATGCATTAATGACCTACCCTTTTAACATATAATTGCTTCTAATGCTCCATGTTTAATGTTCCTCAATAGCCAAACATGAAGAGAATCTAAAGCAGATAACAGAACTAAAATCATAGGACCTCATAATTCTTGTAAATTCATGGGATGTCAGCAATAAAAGACATTGTAAAACATAGAGGACACTGAAACAAACATATATATGCCAGAAATGAAGGTGCAAATGTGCAATGATCGGACAACATATCAAGTAGATGCTCTAAATATACTACCCTGTCATGATGCCTTTCGAGTTGCGTGCATGCATAATTATCTTCTAAAGCTATAATTCAATACAGATTCAACTATAAAATTTCCAAAACATGTAAAAAAATCCAATTCGTTCACAATATCAGTCCCATAATCAACATGAACTTATTAAAAAGAATACAATCTCACAAGACGCCGAAAATCACAGGTCGGATCAATGTAATTCCCAGTAAACTAGTACCAGCAGCCTCTCGGATTGAGCCTGACGATTTTACTATGTCGATCGTTGATTTAAAGAAAAACCAAACAAGAAGATCAAAAAAAATTTAGCCTAGGACCCTCTTTCACTTCTATTCTAATGGACTGAATATATTTCATAAGTAGTATTAAAAGTTGTGATTAAGAAGAAGGAAATAAAATTAGATGGTTCGGTTCAAAACTAACACTGAATATTCAGATCCTTGACATGCAGTTCCAGAAACATAAAAAATTCAACAAAAAACACACAATGTGAGCTGAAAATGGGAAAGTGCGAAAGAGGAAAAGCTTACTTCCTGATAGCCTAAAAGAGAAAATAAATATCTTCTTGCAAGTAAGGGGAGATGCTAAGAAATAAACGCAATCGGTGTTGCGTTCCAACAATTCTTCCTCTATTTTTTCTTTGTAAATAAAAAGCTGAAAGACAGAGCACTGCTTGGGTTTACAATTTTACATGACGGAAAATTGAAGAACAAAAACCAAACAAGAGTGCATGTGAGCGAAAGAGACTGAGAGGTGAATGCACTATTTGGGATTTCATTATATTTGATCATCTGTTGGAAAATCTTTAACCACAAAGATTAAACGAAGAAATTATTATATGCCATTTATACAAAATAATTCCAATTTTATGGGTGATTTTCAACAATGATACGTAGTTCATCTTAGTAGTATTTGTCAACTCTGCATTTCTAACCCTATTTTTTCTCACAAGCATTTCATCGAACATCTATGCTTCACTTTAGATGACTTGTATCTAACATTACACCTTGAATCGTTGATGGTCCCGATAGTCCCTTGGTCGAGTCTTCTCTCAATGGACCCTTCTTCAAGTCAACACCTCCACATAATTCAAAGTTAGATTAGAATTTCCCATGCATCCCTGGCTGAAAAGTTACGGTGGAAATGAGAAGAGAGAATCAAAAAAGGAAATTCGAGATCAGAAATGAATTTGGGGTGTAGAATAAAATTAAGGATTGTGTTGCAAGTTTTAAAAGTTGGGGGACCTAAATGCAAGTGCCTGAAAAGTTCAGTGACCATATTGCAAACGTACTAACAATAGTGTAATGGTCAGGGACCATATTGTAAACGGACTAAATGTTAGAGGACTGTATTGCAAGTTTTAAAAGCTAGAGATCTAAATGAAAGCTTTAAAAATTCAGTGACCATTACTGTACTTTACCCATAAATCTAATTTATTCATCCTCTTTAAAAGCTACTTCTCAATTCTCTTTGTTTAAAATAAAATTTTCTTATCTTCATCACTTCGAAGCGAAACCCCAGATTTCTCGACCTGTGAAACCTAATCCAATAGCCTTTCTCCAATTTTTTTGTATTCGAAAAGCCCTTAGTACCAATTTCTTTATTCTAGGGTTTCGCTTTGGTTAATGGATTTGCAGTTGGTGAACAAGGCGTTGACTTTTTTCGCGCAGGAAGAAACAGTGGCTTATATTATTAGCTATATGCGGCGTCTCAGGTTTTGGGGTGTACAGGGTGTATAATTTACCCTCTGTCGTGAGGAAAAGGAAGAGGCTTTTCAAGCTCTTGGGAGCCCTGATCTCGTTAGCTGAATTGGTCTCGGAATCCGCGGAGACGATCAATGTTGTCTCCAAGGACTTGAAGGCGTTTTGCAATCCGATTCTGATGAAGTTCCTAATAGTTTGAAGCAGATTTCCAAGATTGTGAGATCAGAGGAATTTTCTCAATCTTTAATTAGGATTACCGAGGCTTTAACAGTTGGGGTTTTAAGAGGCTATAAGTTAGGCTCAGGGAATGAGGATAAATTCGTACCGGGTTCTGAGAATTCCAGCTTTACTGATAAGATGTTGGATAGGCTTTTCTCCAATGCTGGGACTGGTTTTGTAT